CTTGCTGCAGCGGCCCATGCTGCTGCCAACAATAGCCCATTTACCATATTTTACAACCCTAGGCGAGTAATGTTCCTACACTATAATTTTCCCACCCTGATGGCCCTAAACAGCCTTTTTATGTAACTCGGTAACTATCAATGATTGATCTGAAATGTGGACTTTCAGGGCTAGCCCTACTGAGTTTGTTATCCCATTTGCCAAATACCAGAAGGCACTGTATAGTAACCAAATATCTTTAGGAATGCGATTCCGGATGATGTTCGAGACCGAGGAATTAGGGATGAGAAGGTACAGTGGCTTTTTTTACCTATTTTGATTTGGCGCATTATTGACAATGAATTTATATTTCTTTGTTCTAAATTCTAAATTATAGCCGTGTTTTTGTTGCCTATTCAATGTTCTTCAGGTACATGGGTACGATAACTGGGATAAGTGACCTAGATCCTGTAAGATGGAAAAACTCCCAGTGGCGCAACTTACAGGTTAGATTGCTGAGCCACACCATTGATGGCAGATTTGGTTTGTACCTGATTCACAGATGTAGCGTAATTTTGTAGGTTGGTTGGGATGAGTCTGCCGCAGGTGAAAGGCGAAACAGAGTTTCAATGTGGGAGATTGAACCAATTGCCGCTCCTTTCTTCATATGCCCCCAGCCTTTCTTTGGCATAAAGCGCCCTAGGCAAATAGGTAAATCAGCCTTAGGTTCATCTTTCTGTTTTAGATTGCAATGCAAATTGCATATCACGACAACTACTTCTGATGGTTTACATGGTTCGCTTTTATATTTGAATTAACAGATGATGAGTCATCAGAGATGGAAAACCTTTTCAAGAGGGCAATGCCTTGGCTTGGTGAGGAGATATGCATAAAGGATGCTCAGACCCAGAACACCACAATGCCTGGTCTGAGCTTGGTTCAATGGATGAACATGAACAGGCAGCAGAGCTCCACATTAGCTAATACAGGCATACAGTCAGAGTATCTGCGATCTATAAGTAACCCTGCCATGCAAAACCTTGGTGCCGCTGAGCTTGCAAGGCAGTTATATGTTCAGAACCATCTCCTGCAACAAAACAGTGTACAGCTTAATGCTTCCAAGCTCCCTCATCAAATGCAACCTATAAATGAGCTTGCCAAGGGATCGTTGTCTTGTAATCAACCTGATGCCATCACCAATCATCAAGAACTGAAGCAAGAAGTTGGCAACCAGCAGAGGCAACAACAGCCCGTTAACCAAGCAATTCCTTTAAGCCAGGCTCAAGCCAATCTTGTCCAGGCCCAGGTAATTATCCAGACTCAGATGCAGCAGCAGCAGCAGCAACAACAACAACAACAGCCGTCTCCAACTAGGTGCCAGCAGGGAACCAGTGAGCAACAGCTGCTTCTTTCACAGCAACACCAAGACCAGAATTTTCAAATGCAGCAACAACAGCAGCTTTTACTTCAGCAACTGCAGCGGCAGCAGCAGCAGAATCAGCAGCAGCTAAACAAGTTGCCAGGTCAACTTATGAATCTGGCTGGTCAACATGCTCAATTGTCTGACCAGGAACTTCAGTTGCAGCTATTACAGAAACTACAGCAACAGTCACTTATATCACAGCCAGCAGTTACACACTCACGATTACCGCTAATACAGGAACAGCAGAAGTTACTTTTGGACATGCAGCAGCTATCGAGTTCTCATTCACTTGCCCAGCAGCGGATCGTGCCTCAGCAAGATAGCAAAGTTTCACTGCAAGCATCACAGGCGCCACCACCAATGAAGCAAGAACAGCAGAAACTTTCACAGAAACAAGTTGCACTTGCAGATGTGTCAGATATTGCCTTTCCACCGATTTCATCAACCAACGTTCTGTCCAAAGCTGGAAGCCAACTGATGATTCCAGGTGCTACACAATCTGTACTAACTGAGGAAATCCCTTCTTGCTCAACATCACCTTCTACAGCCAACAACGGAAATCATTTGGCACATCGAACCATTGGCAGGAATGAGCATTGCAAGGTCAACATGGAGAAGGTGCCTCAATCGTCTGCTCTGATGTCAATTCCAACATCTGGTGAAGCTGTAACAACTCCAATAATGATGAAGGAATCATCAAAGTTGAACCATAATCAGAAGGAGAATGTAATCACCTCAAAGTCACCCACTGTTGGGACTGGACATGACAATCTTTTGAACATTGTACCATCAACAGACAACCTGGAAACAGCTTCATCAGCAAATTCATTATGGCCTATCCAAACAGATGGACTTTTGCATCAAGGATTCCCCACTTCTAACTTCAATCAGCAACAAATGTTCAAAGATGCACTTCCAGATGTGGAAATTCAAGAAGTGGATCCAACTAACAATGCCTTCTTTGGGATCAACAATGATGGTCCATTGGGCTTTCCTATGGAAACAGAAGGCTTGTTGGTAAGTGCACTTAATCCTGTGAAGTGTCAGCCTAATCTGTCAACTGATATTGAGAACAATTACCGAATACAAAAGGATGCCCAACAAGAGATCTCAACTTCCATGGTTTCACAGTCATTCGGTCAGTCTGATATAGCTTTTAACTCAATTGATTCTGCAATCAACGATGGTGCCATGTTGAACAGAAATTCTTGGCCCCCTCCACCTCCACCACAGAGAATGCGGACATTCACAAAGGTTTGTGCTTCTTTACATAACCCAACTTACTGATATTATAACATTCAACAGTATACTTTTGTTGTTGTATTTACTAATGCCTGAATATTGAATTGCGGGACTTTAATGGAAGAATGGAATACACTTCTGGACACCAAATATAAGATGAAATATTGGAGCAGATATGACAATATATGTGAAGTACATGTAAAAAAGTTTAAGGAAAGGGTAGTCAAAATTCTATCATATTCAGACTAGTAGAAAAGCAAATGTATAACTGTCTTTTCAAGAGCGCATTTATGGTTTTAGCTGTGCTAGTATATGGTGCCATGCTATTATGTCAATTGAGTAGTCAGCTACTGTCAAGCAGTTTTGAAATCACGATTCAAACGAGATAGGTGTATTAATGCTTGCTTGGATGTATGGTTGATGAGGTGGTCACATATAGCTTTAAAAGCTTGTCAAGGACTGGACACTTGGCAATTGGGACCTTCTATGACCATGCTCACTCTGGAGCCATAAACTCTTGAGCATGTGCTTTGTTTGCTATGGCCATTCATTCTTTTGAATGTGAACCAAACATTTTCATAAAAGTGACCGTAACATAAATCCTGTAGGTCTACAAGCGTGGAGCTGTAGGCCGGTCCATTGACATAGGTAGGTTCTCTGGATATGAAGAATTGAAGCATGCTTTGGCCCGCATGTTTGGTATAGAGGGCCAACTTGAGGACCGACAGAGAATAGGCTGGAAGTTAGTCTACAAGGACCATGAGGATGACATCCTACTTCTCGGTGATGACCCATGGGAGTAAGTTTACCTTCCTACTTTTGCTTTAATATTAAATTTTGTATTCACTATGAAAATTTGTCAAGAAAATAATATTGTAGAAGTGCCCAATGTAGATGTGTATACTGTCTAGGAATGTAATATAGTAAAAAAAATGTACAAAAGTGGACAGCAATGTGCCTGTGTCTTCCTTTTTATTGATAAGCATATGCTGAAGCTTATAGGGTGTGTAAATTTTGTAAATGCACTGAATATAAATGATAGAAGAAGAATTTCGTTGGTTATTATCGTAATAAAATGTGATGTGAATTATACAGGGAGTTTGTGAATTGTGTGAAGTGCATTAGGATCCTATCCCCCCAAGAAGTGCAACAGATGAGCTTAGATGGTGATTTGGGGAACAATGTCCTCTCCAACCAGGCTTGCAGCAGCTCAGATGGTGGGAATGCCTGGAAGCCTCGCTGTGACCAGAACCCTGGTAACCCTTCGATCGGCTTCTACGACCAATTTGAATGACCTGATCACAGGTACGTACACACAGTTTGCTTACAGTATTTCCTTTCATCCCTGTGTTAGTTGTTGAACTGCATTTCACAATTATGAATTCAGAATGGGAGATGAGAACTATGGTTGCAAAAAGCAACCAGTGTCCAGCCATCTACAGAATTATCGCCAAGCAATGCAAGATGCCGTAGACGTCTAGGCTTTTATAGCTGGGAGAGCACTCCTCAGATTAGGGTATGTTTTAGATATATGTGTAGTCTTGGTTGAAACAATGTAGGCAAGAAGAATGAAACTTACCTAGAGCTGTGGCGAGTCGAAATGTCGGACAGAGGGTTAGGCAAAATCTAAACTTCAGGCAGAGTAGGCAGATCTGAAGATAAAGTATTTTGGTGGAGAGTATTTGTAATTCTGTATTGAACTGCTCCTGGGGTTCCTTGAAACCCATGTAGCACTATGAGTCTCAGTTCAGAAAATACTGAAGCAGATTAAAGAGGTTCTACTGATTAGTACTATTTGTCTAATGCGAATGGCCCATTTAAGTGAACTTGCATATGCTGCTATTCTTTCTTGTTTTTCCCCATTGTTATTCCTTATCTAGTTTCAGAAAATCTACAAATGGACAGCCTGTCAGTGTCCATTTTGTAGGTGCACTTTGTTTGACTATAACCAGGTTTTATCACAGTCACTACGAGGAAACTCTATACATCTCATTTTGGTAAAGTTTGATGACAGATTTCTATATATACTTTTTACTGCCAACTAGTCAGATCCAGAACCTAATCGTTGGTGACCAATATATAGAGCAGTAAACGTCACTGCTAGTGGTAGGCATCTAGTAGGAATCAGAAACCTTTATCAGTTCACAGGACAGCACAGCAAAAACAGGCAGAAGAGAAGAGTCGATTTGTTCACATCCAAATGGCTCAAGTAACATCTGTATGTTCCAAAAACACAGAAGAAATGCATCGTGGAGCAATCACTCGTCGACTCTATATGAGAGGCTATACTATGACACAGATTATTCTATGGTAATTTGCAAGGATCCTGTTTAGTTACAAACCAGGGGAGAAGTGTTTAAAATTGACCGAGTTCCTGCATGAATTCCTGAGTCATCTCGAGGTAGTCCTCCAAATGCACCTTCCTCCACTCCTACAAACCAGAAACCGAGACATCAATACAAATCGAATCACCATATACAGACACAAACACGAACATCATACGGTGACATTCAGTCAGACCTCAAAATCCCATTCCCCGTAGAGGTCAGGATCACGCTCGTTGCCCCATATGTACGCGTAGGCGAGTGATTTCTCCGGTGCATCCTGCAAAACCCCCAGACCATCTTTTTTCATCGTTGAAAATGAAACCATTAACCATCTGAGCTACTAAGGATCAGAAGTTCAGAACAATGCGAGGTAGTAAGCATGGGCAGTCGATCAGAATCAGATGGTACAATGCAAATATGGTTGCAATGTACTCACAATCAGTGAGACCTCGACGGTCGTCTTCACATACTCCTCGTCCTCGAACATGTCGAACACATGGAGTTCCCTATCGGTGAGCTCCTTGAGAACCTGGACGGAGCAGAGGCAATGGATTCAGACGGGAGCTGTCGCGGCGGCCTTCGCCTCCATGTTTCTTCCGTATTTGCGACGGGTTACGGCTGGCATGTAGAGGGTGAGAGACGGACGCGGACCTTTCCGCTCACCGCGTGGCCACGGCCGGGGAGGATGGCCGGGTAGACGCGGCCCCTGATGCTGAACCTGCGGTGGTCGGGGAGGAGCGCGGGGGAGGAGGGCGGTGCTCGGCCCAGGAGGACCCGCACCACCTCCTCCGCCATCAGCGTGCCGTACACGAAGACGCTGTGATGCCCGTCGGCCGCCACGGGAGGAGGCGACGCCATGAGGAGTCGTCCAGCCGGGGACAGGACGGAGCGGGGCAGGAGGAGGAGGACGGCGACAGGTGGAGTTTTTTTTTTCTTTTCTTTTCTTTTTGAGAACACGCGACAGGTGGAGGTGGAACGGAGAACGCTGGACAGGCCGCCAGGCCGACTGAATTGCGTTGGGCCGAACCGCTGTTTGAATTGGGTTTCGTCCGCCAGAAAGATTGGGCTGGGCTGGACACGATTTTTTATTTGTATATATTTTCAAATTCATTTTTGCATCCACTCAATCAAAAAAAAATCAAATTCATTTTTGCAAACTTACGTCCCTATCAAAGATTTGCAAAACTATAGTACTTCCGCTAGGGATGAAAACGAATGCAGTTAGTCAGAATAGTCCCTTTCCCATTATCATTTTTGTATTTTACCACGAAAATGAAATGAAAATTGATAAGGCCCAGAATAGAAACGAAAACGGAGATCACGAGAATAATAATAATAACAAAACAAATTCTATAAAACGGTAACGTCAAGGCATGGAATCAAGAAACTTGGCTTCACATGTTAACCTAACTAAATAGGAATGTATGATATTACCACCAATAGATAAGTAAATTTTAATTCATACCATAAGATTCATAAGATAACAAAAATGCAAGACTATAAATAAGTCTTTAATACAGAAAACCAATTGCAAATTTAGGGTCTGTTTGGCTCGTGACCAAAACTAACTACACTAAAAGTTAGTCATGCCATAATTATTTCTGCAGTTGTTTGGCTCATTGCCACAACTATAGCACGTCGCACTTTCTTAATATCATGTCTCACATATCGTAGACTTATTTTCATCTCAAACTTTACCATTAATGAGGTTTTGATTTGCTTTCCCATACTTTTTGTGACAACCACAGTTTTGTCGGACATGGTAAACTACGATGCAAACCAAACGGACCCTTAACTATGGTATAGGGTTCGGAAAAGTAAGTAGTTTGGTAATGAAGGTGCGAGGTTCTCCTCGATCTTGATAAAAATACGAATCGATATTTAGCGGAAACTCATCGAAATAAACATCCAAGTTTTGGTTGAAAAATAAACGTTTTTTTACCAAAATAAAATACTTCCTCCCCAAAACCAAAATGATCCAGCGTGAGCATCGCTCGTGACCTATGTCACCTCCTGCGCACACGAGAGGAAAGAAAGACTGAAGTTTGGAACGTGGGAAATATTTTTTTCGTTCCTGCATTCTTGCCTTCCAAACGAGAGACCCAAGAAAAACAAAGAGATCGAGCCCAGGTCTCCACGGCCACAACGTGGAATTCAAACCACTAAACTACAGCCACTTTTGTCTACTGGTTTGTCCATATCGTCTTTTATAATCAGTACAGGGTAGAGTGTACCTTCAACCACATTCAAGCGACCCACACGTGGAGTCCATTTCGAAATAGGAAATACGCTAGCCCTAATCCGCCGCCTATACACGTGAAGAATGAATAGTCCAAAACAGCTAGGCGAGGCAAGCAATCACCCACTACTCGCTCATTTCCATTTTACAACCAATTCACATTTTTCTCTCTACTTGGTCTTACCCGTCCATTGCAATGGGAGAAAAAAATCAACATGAAAATATGGTGTTTCGAGATCACCAAACACTATAAAACCACCTAACGTTAGCAAAATGACATTTGTAGCTACATTGAAATACATAAGCATCGGTCTTATATATCAATGTCTAATCAAGCATAAAAAGAACACTAAAACACATAATTCTAGTCAAAGGAAACAAGCATATTCAGCAGGGTCGAGGACCAACATTTTCCTTATTATAATCGATGTACTCTCTCCGTCCCACAATAGAAGTCATTATCGGATACGTGCAGGTCAAACTTTCTCAACTTTGACTAGGTTTATAGAAAATGCGTGCAACATTTATATCTCCAAATAAGTTTATTATGAAAGTATATTCAACGATCTATCTAATGATATTAATTATATATTATAAATATTAATATTATTTTATACATAATTGGTCAAAGTTAAAAAAAACTAATTTCTCGGGAAGTGAGAACAACTTCTATTTTGGGAAGTATAATATGATGTATCATTTCGACAACTTGAACAAGGAGATCAGCGCACGAGTTCTTGTTTTTCTCCCTTTTTTTTGAAACGAATCAGGCAGGAGAGCTACCAATTATATTAAAAAACAGATAAAACCAAGGGCAAAATAAAAAGATACAACTACGGGCGGTTGGATTGGACCATCAACATGCACCAACTCAAGAGAGAAAAAAACAACTCTAGCCGGTCGGACTGGGACATCGACACGAGCCACACAGGCCGAAGCTCAGCACAGAACACACACTCGACCACCCCATAAACACCCACAAAATAGGTCACCACACTGCACTAGCAACAACCAGACGACAGAGCCGTCAGGACGAAAACACCATCGTCATCGCTTGCGCCATCGTTGCCGACGCTGTCCCACACCGAGGTAGCCCGCTGTCAAGCAAGGCTAATCGTTGTAGTCCGCTGCAAGCCATAGCTGCCTCTAGCGCTCGCCAAACCGACCCCGTCCACCGAGATCCAAGCGTGTGCACCATAGCTTCCAGGACCTAGCTGCCTCATCGAAGGTAGAAAGTGCCACATACATCCTCCAGTTATCAGTCAGAACGCCTCCTTGCACCGGAAACAGTCGCCGCTGAGCAGGACCGCCCGCCGCCACACCACGCAGGTCACCTCGGCAACGCAAATCTGCTGGGCACCACCTCCCACGTCGGCCTCCTCACCAACTCCGTGGGCGCCTCCCACACCGGCCACCTCGCCAACTTCGTGGTCGCACTGGCGTATAGTCTCACCAAACCACCGCCCTCTACTGCCAAGCGGATGCGAGGCCCTCCAATCGCTGCGCCACTGCCCTCCTCCTACAGCCTTTCTTCGTTGTGGACACCGCAAACTTGAATTCTCAGCTAAGCCTCCACCATTCTTGCCACGACACTGCCCGCCGCCACAGACTGACCAAGCACGAGCTTCCGAAACGACGCCTCCAAGGAGGAACACGACGCCATCGGCGCCTAACCAAAAGGTCAAGGTTTTCACCCAAGAAGACACCACACAAAGGGGAGAGGGCCATTCGATTGACGCCTCCAAGGAAGAAAACGGCACCAAGAGGCGTTGTCATCATCGGCCCAAGATGGACAAAGCTTTCGCCATGGCGCCTCACCCCGTGCACAGCAATGGCCATGGCCCATCAGCTGTGCCCGCGTGCGGCGTCCTGTGGCCGGTCACCAACGGTAGCTCCTTGACGTGCCGCAACCCCATAGGCCACCGCGCAGCTGGCCCAAGGCCCACTAGCGTAGATCCTGCAAGGGGGCAGCCGAATCCAGCTTCAGCAGTGCCGGATCCGCCACTTCCGTAGAGGACTGGGTTGTCGCCGCCGCCGTAGTCGACGCATCATGGACGAGGAGGAATGAGCCAGCGAAGAAAGAGTCCGGTGTCGTCCTCACGCAGATGCCAGCTCCTAGCTCCGTCCACGGCCACCCGCCGCACCGCGCCGCGCCGTCCATCGATCCCGTCCCCTCCGCGCACCGCCGCCCGCACCAGCTGCTCCCCTGGCTGAATCCAAGCGGGCGAGCACCGAATTGGGCCTTAGGAGGGCTGGAGTCACCGGATCCAGCCACCGGTGCCGTGGATCCAGGCACCGGCCGCCAGAACCACCACCCCCATCGTCGGACTGAGCCACCATCAGGTTGGGAGAAGGATGGAAGGAAGGAAGGAAGGAAGGAAGAAGGGCCCAATAGCCACCATCCACGTGGCTGTGCGGCCTCCGGCAGCATGCTCCGGTGACGGCGAGGAGGCAAGGGGAGGGAGGGAGGAGAGGTTGGCGGCGGTGGCGTTGCTGCCCGTGTCGCCCAGACGGGGCAACGCGGGGGCCGGGGCTAGTAGGAGGTAAATAATAAGGGACGACTTGGGACCCCTCTTGTTTTGCTCCTTGGTCTAGGAGCAGGAGTGATGTTAGTTGAGGCTTTTACATGTGTGCCATTAAAAAAAGTTTGTAATTACACATAAGCCATTAAAAAAATTGACCGCACACAGGTGCCACTGCTGTAAACTTCTTTGCCTTACAAGCCATTCCGTCCTTGTTCTGTTTGTTTTTCGCTGTTTGGTGTGGGACCGACCAGTGAAATTTTCCATATTACCCTTGGCGGTGGAAACCGACTACGATTCACCACCTCAGTTTTCTTTCTCTCTGTGTTCCTCCTTGTCTTCTTCCCCTTGCGCGTCGTCAGCACCGCGCCCGATGGCCCGGCCCTGCAGCCCCGGCACCTCCCGGCCTCGGCCTCGCCCTTCGCCCCCGGCGCCTCCCGGCACCAGCCCCGCCTAGCGACCCCAATGGCCTAGCCCCACGCTCCCGGCCTCGGCACCGCCTTGCACCCTCGGCGGCGGTGGCCCGCCCCGCCTTGACGACGTCAGCCGCCTTCTGAGCCCCAGCGTCGGCAATACCGCCCGGCTACTGCCTTGGCCGCTTCTCCCGGCGACCTGACCCATGACTTGGCCCGACGACCTCCCAGGCGGTCATGACGCCGTCGTCCGTCGTGGCGGACCCGGTGGCCTCGCTGCTCGTCGTGTGGAGAGGGGAGCCGGGGCACCGCCGCGCCACGTCGCCAGATCCGGCGGCGCCTGGCTACTCCTCACCCGCCTGGATCCCGTCACCGTCCGCGCGGCCGAGCTCCTAGTCGTCCTCGTAGCGCCCCGTCACCGTCAACACGGCCGAGCTCGTAGCTGCCCCACCGCACACCCGCCGTCGCCGTCTCCTTCACCAGATCTGCCGCTACGCTCCTCGTCAGCCGTGCGCTGCCGTTGCCGTCCGCCCTAGCCATACCCGCGTGCGGCCGCTAGCTCTAGGGCACCGTCGCCGTATCAGTCCCCCAGCCTTGTCGCGCACTCGCCACAGGCGCGCGGCGCCCAAGATGCTGGATACACCACCGGTGGGGATAGGAAGGGGAAGTGGACGCCGCCTAGGA